TTTCCTACCTCTTTCTTCTCGTCCACCACTTATTCTCTCTCTCTCTCTCTCTCTCTCTCTCTCTCTCGGTCGGCCGCGGTAGAATTCAAAAGCGAGAGGCAGCTTCGATTAAAAAAACGAATATACTTTTACAATACGCATTCGCATACGAATTATAATTATCGATGACTCGGTGTGTACGTGTCGATCCTTTCTTCTTTTTTTTTTTATTTTTTTTTCTTCTTTTTTTGTTTTTTTACGTGTGTGATTGCGCGATTACGTGTCGATCCAGCGATTCGTCTTTGAAATACGAATACAACAGTCGAGCGTGAAAATTCGTTAATTTCGAGATAAGGAACGTTCGTGCGACAGGTTTGCAGAAAAGGAAGAAACACGTTCGACGAGGAAAAGTGGCGACGAAGGGCGAAGTGGCGCTGGTATTCGAGCAACTTCTCTGGAGGAAGTCTTGGCTCAGAGAGGATTGATCTCGAAATTTTGATGTTTCTCGAAACTCGAGAGGGGATCAGAGTCGGTGGATTTCGAAGGAATTTCGAAGAGTTCTTCGAATTCGAGTTTCAAGGGAAGGTTTCTCGTTGATCGTTGGGGAAGTTTCATACCGATTGGACGAGTTTGATCGTTCGTTGATCGAAGTTCGTAACGCAAGTCTTCCCTCCTTTGATCAGATTGCGTATTAGAATAGAAGCGTAAACTTTTTTTGCAAACTTTTTTTTGCGAAATCTGGACGGGATTCGTCCATCCGTATATATAAATTTCGCGCGATGCTTCCTTTTAATTTGAAAAATTGATAAAAGTTTCGAATAGACCTGAACACTTTAAAAGCGAAAACTTGCGTTGATGAACTTCTTCTTGTCGAAAGGTGAATATATCTATCTTTCTTCTTGTTTTTTCTTTTTGCTTCTCTCGATTTTGATATTCTTGCGGTCAGAAAAAAAGAGCGGATCTCTGATGTGAATCATGCGTTTTCTTGCATCATCGTCTGTTTTTTTTTTTTTTCTTCTCCTTCGAAATTTTTCATCCATCAGTTTCAACAGATAGAAAAGAGTTTAATAAACCCCAAATCAAACACCTAACGAAGTTACATCGTCGTCGAGTTTTTCTCTCGGGGCGAGGGGGAGGGGGAGGGGGAAAGGTAGGGGAAACGAATAAATGCATGTTTTTCGCGTCGTCGCAAGTAAAAAATTTTCAAAGACAATTTACAACGCTTTTACAACGTTTTTCGACTCGTCGAGGATGTATTCGAATTTGTCGATGGGTATTTATCCACTCGGGTTTATTCTAAAAAATCTTCTGCAAAAATTCGATGTTCAAAATGGTGTACGAAGCGAATCTGAAATTATAATCAATAATTATCGCGAAATTATATCCTCCAAAGGGAATGATGCAATGGACGTCTTTTGGTATCCGGCTCTTTTCTTTTCTCCGTCGTTCTTCTTCTCTTTTTTCTTCTTTTTCTTTTCAACTCAACGCGGATGAATATATCATTTCTCGATGGGGGAGGGGAAAAAGAAAAAAAAAAAAATATATACTAAAAAGCATATTTGGCTCGCATCTTCGCGTAGATGGTTCACGTAGATTTCGAGAACAGCAGTGACTCGATTTATCCAATTGTCGGATATATACGATATACTTTTTAACGAATGGTAAAGAAAAATCGGATCTAAGAAACATAAGAGAATTTTACTGTTTTTTTCTCTTCATTCTTGGACAGATACATTGATCAACGATTTGAAAATGAACAGGTAATGTAGACACTTTCGACGTTTGACAAGCTGGTCGGTTGACCTTAGAAATAAAATTCTATTTATCGTTGTGCATTCATCGTTCATCACACTTGGATTAAAATTAAGCGTCGATTTCTTCGATTTCGATCATTCGAAATGAAATTATATCTTCTCGAATAAACTTTTCCATTCCTCGTCGCGGAACGATTTTTCAGAATCTTCGCGAATCGTCGCGAAAACGTTGGAAACAATTTTCATCTCGATTTTGTTAAAGAGAAAAAAAAAAAAAAAAAAAAAAAAAAAAGAATTCGTAACGAATGTTCACATGATATGAATGTTCATTAAATTAGTAATAACGAATAAAAGTTATTGTTTTTCTTTTTCCTCCTCTGTTCGTGATCACTGTTGTCCTCTTTCCGGACCATGTTCTGAACATCCTATTATTTCTTTTTTATTTTTTTTTCCTTTTTTTTTTCTTTTTTTCTTTTTTTTTTTTTCTATAAAGAACAATAAATCCGCATTCGTTTCGCCGTGTACCTAAGTGCGAAAATCCACGTGTGCTGCGTGTACTACTGGTAATAATCAAAGATAATTGCTATTTGTAATTAAAAAGCTGCTTCTCTTTAGCGCTGCGCCGCTGCTCCTCTCTCGTTACAAAGTAACTCTACGATTTCATCATAATCGTTACATCGAATGTATCGGTATCATTTACAGCCTAAAATACTGAGCAAAGAACGAATCCGTGATCGATGATCCTCGATCGATGCAAACTTCTTTCTTTTCATCCCCTTCGTTTCGTTCCTCCTTTCCCCACACACTCGTCCCGATCTGTATTCCCTTTTTTTTCAAATTTACATATTTTCATTCTTTTATCTATTACAATTCGTCCCGAATCCGTTTTCGAATCAAAGACAAAAGAAAGAAAGTTCGATCTTCAATGACAAAATTCCATGATTCGATTTTTCATTCTTCAAAGTGATATGTGACGATATCGATCAATATCTTAATATCGAGTAATCTCTCCGAGTAATCGAATCATTGATTTCCAAATTATTGTCAAGAATTTTTTCTTTTTCTCTTTAGCAATCGTGTTGAACATCCTCTCACTGGCAAAATAATAATAATAAAAGAGGAGAGGGGGAGGAGGGGGTGGGAAATCTTCTCTTTCGTTCTCAGCTCGCTCTCAGAGGAAAACGATTATAACGATTACAAGAAACGAACGATCGAGAATCATCGATCATCGCTTTCCACCCTTATCATTGCGTGATAAATCGCCGAACGGGGTGAAAAAAAGTAAACACTCGGGAGGTCGAGAACGAAAATTGAGGAAGAGAAACCAACGTACGCTTAGAAGTTATCAATTAATTCGAGATATATCTTGTAAAAAATTTTTTTTTTTTTTTACAACGTATGTATACGCATACACACGGCACTGGTGTGTATATACGTACACGAGCAAACATGTACGTATAACATGTATATACACATATATATAATATAAATATATATATACATATATATATAGATATATATACATATATATTTATATACCGTTATTGCGCAGGCAATTGTTGTTGTTGTTGTTGTTGTTTCTTTTTCTCTTGTTCATTTCTCTCTTTCTTTCTTTCTTTTTTTTTTCTCCTTCTTTTTTTTTTTTCCTTCAACCATTTTTACACCGTCGGTATGATATTTTCTATAATTTCTTCGCCTCCTCCCCATCGCGCTTGCGTTTCTTCCCTACTTTATGGCAATAATAATATAATAATATAATATAATATAATAATAATAACAATAATAATAATAATAATAATAATAATAATAATAATAATAATCGTAAGAATGATCATAATAATAATAGAATATTAGTAATTATCTAAATTCTCTCTCTCATATTAATTAATTTCCCCCATTTTCTCGCTTGCCCCATTATTTTCTCGTCAATTTCTTTTATTATATATTTATCTATTTAATTTGTTTCCTTTTTTTTTTCTTTTTTTTTTTTTCTTTTTTCTTTTTGGTTGTCTGTATAAAGGACATTGCAGTTTTATTCGGTATTAGGTGGCACTCAGAATTGTATTTCTATTAGTTTTCTTTTATTGTTTTCGCACATACCTAATTCGTTCGTCATCGATCCTTCGATCTTTCATCCAGCCCGATATCTCTCGTGGGTTCTTCTTCTTCTTCTTCTTTTCCTTTTTTTTTTTTTTTACTTCTTACTTCCTCTTTTTTGTTGTTCTTATAAGCAATTGAAAAAAAAAAAGAAAGTGCTCTCAATCGAAAACGAGTTATACGTTGTTTGAATTTCCAAAAATTCTCAGAAACTCACCACGAGCCGCCTCCTATTTCGATTTCGAACTTCCGCCCTTCAGTCTGTTCCATTTCCTCCTCTTTTCCTTTCTTTTTTAAATTTCTCTTTCTCTCAATTCCGCGAACATCGATCTTCTGTCCTTTCATCTCCTACTTCCATTTCATTTTATTTCCCTTTCGTTATTAATTCCCCTCGCTCTCCTTTGTTCTCTCCTATATATATATATATAATAATTTTCCTCTTCTATCGTTTCGTTTTTCTCTCCTTTTTTACACGGTTTCGAGTAGAAACGAAAGAAACGTGCAAAACAAAACAAAGAAGCATCGCCACCGGAGGGGAACACGTACGCGCGCGCGTGTCTGTGCATGTGTCTGTCTGTGTATGTGTGTGTGTATGCGCGTGTTTTTTAATTCGATTAAAAAAAATTGCTCGAAGGAAAAAAAGGGGTAGCGTCAACAGGGGTAGAAAAACCTTGAAGGCAAAGTCGATAACGCCGCGGTCGGATTAACTCTGTGTACGTGTACATGTGTGTAGGAGAAATGCAATCCGTATGTAATGCACGCGTATGTACGTGTCACGTGTTTGTACACGCGCGTGTATATACAACATTTCGAAAACGCCGCTTGTTCTTCTCTCTCTTTCCTCCTCCTCGTCCGCTTCCTCGAAAACGATAAAAATAAACCACTCGTCGTCCTTCGCATCGACATCGCTGCGCGTCCCCCGATCGATATTCCCTCAAACGATCCCACTCGATGAATACTCGATTCGATGAAGAAAACTTACTTCGCTCGGTGGAGAAAATGTAGAATCGAATGTAGAAGATAATAATCTTTCGTTGGAAAACTATTATTTTGGGGGGATAAAAAAAAAAATAAGATTGTGCTTTCTTCTCGAAATGGTATGGCCATGACTCGTACCAACGCAGACAATAAATAAATAAATCTGGGAAAAGGGGGGGACGAATATTCTCTCGAAGAGGGTGAATGAAAAGTAGGAAAAATAAGCGAGGGAGGAAATGTAACGAATAATCTCGCTTTCGTCCTGCCCGAAGGTCGCAAAGAAGAGAGGAGAGGATGAAGATTCGATTAAAGAGATCTCCAAGAGAAAATCGATCGAGGGGCGGGTTCAATCCTGGCGCCACAGGTTTGTTAGATCCTCCAAGAGGGAACGGAAGGAGTCCACAGCCATCCGAATGATCGTTAATCGCCGCCGATATCCCCGGCGACGCTTCGTCGCGTTTTCAGTCGCAAGCGAGTCTGCAATTTTTTTTCTTTGCTTCGAAAAGGAAGGGAGGGAGGTGTGGGGTGGGGTGTGGGGCGGGGGGAGGAACGTTGGCCTTAACTAACGTGATCCTGATCGAGTTCGTCCAACGATTCCAGCCTCGCGATCGGCGCTTCGTTTATCGTGAACTCCCACGAGATGTCCTCGCTCGTCTGCCTCGAGGACTCTTGCCTCTGCCCCGGGGTGGCCTCGTCCCGGCCTGGTTGCCTGCTCTCCGTGCGTTGAGCGGCGCCAAGCTCGCTGGAACCGCGATGATTCGTCGGCTCCTTTCGGGACTCGCTGCTTCGGGGACGCTGGGAACCCCCTCGATCCGAAACCGACACCACGCAGCTCCACGGATCCTCACCCTCCGGCTCTGATCGCTTGTTGAACGAACTGTACCTGCGAAACGTTTCAATATTTAATCCAATATTAAATACGATTCAATTAAATGGATTATTCCAATAAGTTTTTATTATCAGACGGAAAGTAGGGAAAAGATATTTATTTGAGAGAAGAAGGCGGAAGTAGAATGAGATAATCACGATTATGGAATAATCGTAATCCAATCATAAAGGTAAAGTTACTTTATCAAAGTTTCATGATATAGCGTTTTTGTACATAATAAATTATCGCGAAGTAACTTTATCAACTTTGTTAACTTTATTATCCAACACAAGTGTACGCCAATCCAGACGAAAAGAAGTGGAATAAGATAACCGTGATCAGATTATAGATCATTGAGTAAAAGAGAAATGAAACGAGATCAGACAAATGATATACGATTGCGAAAAATCGTACGATAAATAGTGTATGTTTTACGTTTCCCTCGTCAAAAGAACTCGTTAAAATACGCTAATTAATTAATAAAAGTTGATCAATAGTTCATACAGCTTTTCGTAACCTCGACCTTTCCCCGTTTCGCACCACGATTATTTGCGATTATTTTTTTGAACAATTATTAACAAATTATCGAAACAACTTTATCAACTGAATCCAACAAGTGCACGCCAATCGTTTTATCCACCCAGACGATTACAGAAAAGAATCGTATCAACCGGACGAGTAGAGTAACGCGATGATTGAAATGAAACAAAAATAAAAGGAGGGCGAATGCGATTGCGAGTCGTACACGATGAATAGTGCTTTACGTTTTTTCTTCTCCCTCGTCGAGGAAAAAAGAGAAAGGGAGGGAATATTTGGATCAGTTACCCGCTCCTGAACTCTCCTCTCCTGAATGCAGCGGGTTGGCTGTGCCACGCGTGCGGCAGATGCGCCTGTTGCGACGGGGGCGGCACGGCCAGGTCGACGGGTTGGCTCTGGGACCTGGTGGGCGCCGTTCTCCCGTTCAACGCCGTTTGCAAGGCCGTGGCCAACGCGGACGTGTCCGAGGTGACGGTCAATCGCGACGTACCCGAGGACGTCGACATCGGCTCCTTCGTTGGGGGCCTGCTGCGGATGGAAAATGAAACGAAAAAGGGGGGAGGGGGGAGATTAATCGATTTTTCGCTCGGTCGATAAGCGGCCGCTACGAGTAGCAGCGATATTAATATACTTGAAGCACGTGATATATGTACAAGGGGATACGGTTAGGCCTCTAATTCGTCTAAAGTGTCCCGAACAGTGTCGCAAGTCTGGTCTGATTGGGACTCCCTATCAGTTCAGAAATCGCGTCTCAAATTCTGACATCGACATTGTTTCGTTTATTTACTTTCTACGGAATCTCTGTGTGTGTGTGTGTGTGATCTGATATTTGTTTGTAATTCTTCTTGGTACGTCTTTTTTTTCTTTTTTTTTTAAGGGGCATAAGACTTGAGATCGAATGCTAAGACGTATATATATATATGTATAAATATATATAATATGGTAGAATCTCGATAGTTGTTGAGGAATAAAGTTGAATTAAAATTCGATTCGATTCGATTAGCGGAAAGAGACGTTGTGGACGAGCGGCTCGACGATATCGATTTTAGAAGTAGTTTGCACAGAAATGTAAAGATTAATCGAATTATTTTGTTTAATTTGGAATTATCGTTTTTTTTCTCTCTCTTTGCTTACGAAAAAAAAGATATTTTTGCAAATGCTTCGAAAAAGTTTTCAAGATCGAGACTCATTATTGTTACTCGATTTTCATACTATCGAGACTGTACTGCATTCTTCTAAAACGAAACTAGCAAAACATACGTATGCTTGTGCACTAATGAAAAACTTATGTCCTACGTAGTGGCGATTCATACTCGCGGGAATCAGCTACAAATTTCAATCTCTTACCTCTGTCCATCGTGATGATGAGATATTTTAAGTTGCTACTAGAGGGGTTAAGTTTTGTTAAGGTGTGTAAAGAGTGAGGTGTGTATCGTGAGTGTTGTCGTTGGAATGGAATGAAAAGTTAAAAAATTTTTCTGAAAGTGAAAAAGAAAAAAAAAATTTCTAGAATAGTCAACGGTATTGTCGATGATTAAAATACGCTTGCGTGAATTCTCTAAACGTGCCTTTTCCATATTAATTTTTTCTTTTCTTTTTTTTTTTGTTTTTGTTTTAATATTATAATTTGTGTGTTCTATCTATATGTAAAAAAAAAAAGAAAAAAAAAAAAACAAGAAAAAATATCTTCTTTTCCTTTAAATTATTCCACGCATACATACATATATGGTAAAAAAAATCGTGAAGGATCGAGAAAACAAGTGGCTTGAAATGAATCGAATTTCCCGCGTTTATTATTCATCGTCAAGCTTCGAAAACGTGCTATATCGCAGAATAAATTAAATCATCTACACACGCTCGATCGATATTATTGTAACTAGTAACGTGGAAATGGAAGGGAAAAAAAAAAAAAAAAGAAAGAAAGAAATTCACACAGCTCGTGTTAATTACTTGAACAAGAGTATACAGATCAAAGTGTAATAAACTAACGAAAGATCTAGCGCTAAAAGAAGAAGAAAATCATTCTACAAATACCTCAAAAAATAATTCTCGAATAAATGTCGATGTCAATTGTTTCTTCTATTCGATGCAAGATTAGAAAAAAAAAAAAAAAAAAAAA